ATAATAAATAAATATATATATATATATATAAATAAATAAATATAAATAAATAGATATTAATAAATAAATATTAATTAATTAATTAATTAATTAATTAATGGCTGGATAAACCCACATGGGATTGATTATCTGGATCCTTTGCACATTCATTATCCAGGGAAGAAGACTCTGATAGGCCTTCATTGTTTTAGCTCTGTGCTTTCAAAGTTGAGTGGAGTTACGTGGTGGTGGTAGTAATAGTGGTAGTGGAAGAAAGTAGTAGTAGTAGTAAAATTAAAAAGGTGGCTCTGTTGCTATGGAAACAAAACATGACAGGATTTGGAGGCTAACTAGTTACTTCTTTGTATTGGGATTCTCAGTATCTGCTGTCCATCTGAGGGTAGAACTTTCCATATGCAGTCCAATGGGGGGTCCAGGGACAGTGATTATAGTGTGGGTACAAAAACGCCACAACAGTGGTGCTTAAAGTGTTTGACCCAATTACCCCTTTTCCTGCTTTCAAATCATGTCATTACCCCCACAGAAAACCCCAGACCCTGTTGTTTTACACAAAGGTCTTGGTGGCAGCAGTCCCAAGCTGGATCCTCAGCTCAGAAACAAGTAATTACAAATTGTTCCATTACCCGCAGGATATGCCCCAATTACTCCCAGTTTAAGAACCACTGCTCTACAAACAGATACTGAAGATACAACTGGTTATAATTCGAGTCTCTAAGGCATGCATACCAAATCTAATCATCATGTGTATATCAACTGCAATTTTTAAAAAAATCCTAGTATTTTTCGAAAATTGTAAGAGAATCTGGGAAAATTGAAACATAAGTCAATTTTACTGTTGATATTGTGAAGAAGAAATGAACTAAGGATGTACAGAAGGGTGGTTTTTTTTTTATATATATTGTTGCAGTGCAAATGTTTAAGTAGATGCTTCGTATGGTAACTTTGCAAATGCTGTAGAGTTTTTAAAAAATGTTAAAAGGAGCTTTGAGATGTTAAATGCTGTGTGGAGTGCCACCATGTGGCAAAATATATATAATATATATATATGAAAAGCAGGAATAGTAATTTTTTTAAGTGAGGTTAAGAACCTCTGGTTCTGAGTTGCAATTTCCTGTAACTACCTGAAAGAAAGATAAGGTTTTCCCCCTTCATTAGGCACCTTTAACATGGGAGGGTTGGCTTAGATCAGTGTTGTCCAAACTTGGCCACTTTAAGATGAGTGGACTTCAACTCCCAGAATTC